ATTATTACTATTAGTGATTGAAAAAAAAATCAAACACAAAGGTTGTACAGTTATTTGAGATATCGAGGAGCACCCGTTTAGTGACTCACCGTGTATATCGGCACGGAGTAGAACTAATATAAGAATTACAGTTTCCTTGATTAAGAAGAGTCCGTTTTGACGACGACAGTTTGCACTACAAGACTACTACAGGACAATATGATGCCAATTTTACGATCTTATAAAAATATTACCGTCGCAACAACAAAGTTAGAGCTTCTTTATTACAAATTTGTAATAAAATTTGTTATAAAGGAACTATGGTTAAAGTGTTAACTCCAATAAACCACTATCGATACAAAAAACTAAATTCGTTCTTATTAAAATGAATAATGTGTTTGTTAGTAATAAGTAATGAATTTGCATTAACTTGAAAATAAGCTGCTTCTAAAGCGTGTTATTCAAACAAATATTCATTGTATAAGTGTAGTAGGGATCTACAAGGCCCACCAAACTGTTCACAAATGCTATTTTGTCCGTATACCTGAAGTATTACTAAGCGCGAAACTAAAGAATCGACGCTTACCCCAAAATAGGAATTATTACTACGGATAGTAAAACTTCATAATTTGTACTTGACTTCTAGACACATTGTCTGTTAAGTTTCTAGGATTTTAAGTTATTTTAATAATATTTTTAGGAATTTAGAGTTTACAAAGATTTTCGTCATTAACCTTGGATTTATAAATTACAAATGACTTCAATTTTATAGTCTCGCTTGTTATTTCAAATTTGTTATTTACGTAGTGTCAGTCAAATGTATGACTGTAAAAAAAAATTAAATGATCACATTTATCATGGCCTAATTTTTAGTGTGTTGAAATAAATGAAGAACAATTTGAACGCAAGTGATGTAATTTAATTAAATATGTAGATAATGTAGATATTAAGTTCTGTTCAATGCAGAAAACATGACTTTTTATAAGTAATGGATGATTGTAATGTATTAATTTTCAAAGATAGTTTATTTCCGGCCACGATTGGGAATTATAAATGCGAGTTATTTTTTCAGGTCTTTTCAATTATTTTATTTAGTTTGTTTAATGGTGCTAGCTATAAGACTAATGGTGCTAGTTGGTGCTAGCTGTAAACTATTAGGTTTTAGCTTTTCATTTTCTTTAAATTATATTGCGAGGCTAGCGTTAACTTAGCCCCCCCCCCCCCCCCCCGAAAATAACCCTTTATTACATGGCTTTATTGAATAAAAACACACTTTTTTTAATGGATCCAGCGAGTGCTAGCTCTAGACTATTAACCTACTGATTTTTACCATTAAAGAAAAAAAAGTGTGGGCTACTTTCTTTTGGTTTTTAATTTTTTTTTAATACTTGCAGAGTGGTGCTAGCTATGAGACTAATGGTGCTAGCTGGTGGTAGGTCTAAACTACCTCGGACCAACTTTTCATGAGAATTAAATAATGTCGGGGGGCTAGCGTTAACTTGCCCCCCCCCCCCCGAAAGTAAAAGGCTTTTATTTCAATAATTAGGTGGTGCTAGCTTTTTGATTGGTGGTGCTAGCTGGTGCTAGGTTAGAACAACGAGTTGAGTAAAATTCATTAACTTAGTGGTGCCAAGTTAATGGACCCGACTGAAACTAATTTAGTTTCAATAACTCAAACCCTCTGCGAGGCAATAGATACCTGTCAGCAGGTTGGCGTTATCTATACCGATTTTTCCAAAGCGTTTGACCGTATCGATCATAGCCTCTTTTTCGGCAAACTGGAACACTTTTGTTTTTCAGACAGGATAAGCAAACACTTAGGTGCTATTGACATGATAGGTATTCGTTTATCTATGTCAGGGGTTTCAAATCCAAAAGCTTCAAACAGGAGACCGATATAGATCCCTTAGGGATCCATATTGGGTTCCCTGCTCTTTAACATCGTTATTGATGATGTGTCAGATGTTCTAGTCCTTTCTTATCTCATGTTTGTAGATGATCTTAAGATCTATAGTACAATTAATTCCATTTCTGACTTGTTGAAATTACAAAGAAACTTAGACGCTGTGGATAACTGGTTCTTTTAAAAACAAGTTTTATCTCAATTCTGACAAATGTAAAATGATATCATTCACCAGCAAAAGTCGAACTATATCCTGTGACTACTACATACCCGATGGTTCTTGTCAAACCTAATGTTATTTGCGACCTGGCGGTTTTCTTTGACCCAAAACTTTCCTTCAATTACTACGTAAATCAGTTAGTAGATTCGGCTTACAAGACACTAGGTTTTGTCATTCGCAGTGGTCATTTTTCTTTATAGGATACCCCGCGGCCTTTATGACTGTCCCTACTTACTTTCTAAAATCTCTTTATAGGCTAATTCGGCGAATATTTGGAGCAAAACTCTTTTTCATATTCCAACGTCACGTATAAATGTTGGGGTTGCTTCACCAATTACTCAGATGATACGTAATTATGCCGATATAGAAGGTTTCATTGCTATCTTTTCTTGCAGTCCTGCTGATATTCGTAATCATCTCATAAGCTCTTCTAACTAATTATGCTCTTAGATCATATAATAAATAGATACCAATACTCAAACTAAAAGCTGTGACTAAACATGAAGCTATCTGTTGTCGTTTTCTACGTCAAGGGGAGTAGTATAATGCTATCCTTGTGTGATCACCACATCTTCATCTTTGTTATATGCATTTCATCTGTATATGTCTATTTCACTTCCATCCTTGTACCGCACAAGCGCAACAAATTGCTTTTGACAGATGTTTCTTCTAACCTCTCTTTCGAGTTGTTGTACCAAAAACAATTTTAGAATTTAGAACAAAGATCCTATTTTAAGTGATGTAGTCATAAAGGATCACAATTGCTGCCCAATAATTTACTATTCCTTTCGTTATCTACTGTGAATTATTTATAAAATCAAGCTGTCAACATCTTTCTTCCGAAGTTAGTTCAGACATACTTCCTGAAATTTAGGCGCGCAAAATTCAAATAGCGATCAGGCAAGGATAGCTTCATTGTAATCCCTCCATGCACGAGAGAGATGTGTGACAGGAGGATGTCGTCACAGGCTGTCCTAGGGAAAGAACACGGCATGGTGGTATCTATTTATTATATGATCTAAGATTATGCTATACCCTATGCTCTGCAATTGGCTTCCGTCCTGTAGAGTATGGTTTACTAAATAAATAAATATTTAAACAAATTGCTGATTTTAAAAAATGCATCGTTGCAACGACGTCATCAAATTGTTGGTGGGGATGATTGACAACATTTTGGTTAGCATTTAACCATCTACATGACATTTCTAATATACATACAAAATTATACAGACACCATATGGACAGACAGGCAAAAAGACGGAAACGGTAGAATACTTTCTTCGTACTGTAAGGGTCATGAAATGAAAAAAATGTACCATTTCATCCAAACATTTCCTCCTTTATGAGATTATTAAAAGACAGAAAACAACACACCGTTTATAAATCTTAATCTTATACGAGTAGAAGGAATTTGGGCGAAGAACAAATTTTCATTCATACAGTTTAATGAAATTTGAAAAAAATGTGTGTAACTGCGTAAACTTATCGAAAACAATTATTTTATTAATAAGCGTCAATTGGTAGTAAAGATGCTGATTTCGAATTTGGCATTAGATTATGCATATGACTAAAAAAGATGGTACACTGTTATTCATTCACAGATAAATCACAAATATAGACTCAAAAAAATTTATAACCGAGTCAATTTATTTTTTTGATTAAATCAAGAATTCCAAAACTGAATAGTTTGAACTCTTGCGACGTTTTGAAGTTACTGTGAGCATAGTAAGTCGTTAATCAAAATGTATCTGTTTATCAACCCCAAAAAATTAATAACGTTATCTCAAAATGTTGTCGAATAAATCCTATCTAAAATATGGAAAATATGATCAGTCTATACTTGTAATTTATCATGGCATTCACAATTTTTAGATCTGCCTATACAGGGTGATTCGAAAAAATTAATGAATCAGCCAATTTATTTTGTTGAATAAAACAAAAATTTCAAAACTGAATACTTTGATATCTTGCAGACGTTTTAATGTCATTGTAATTATAGCAAATTGTTAATCAAAACAAATCTGTTTATTCCTTCCAAAAAATTGATGACGTCGTCTTAAAATTTTGCCTAATAAATTCTATCCAAAATGTGCAAAATAAGACGAGTTTTTACCTGTGTTTAAATAGGTGTTTCAAAAAAGTAAACGAATTAGTCGATTTGTGTTGTTGATTAAATCACGGACGACTCACTCCATTTTCCCAGAAAATTTTGGGAATAGAATACGATTGTTTTACATTGCACCAATCCAAGATGATATATTTGTCTTTGCAAAAATGTTGATGACGTCATCACAAAATAATGTAAAGAAAAACTCAACTAGAAACTTTCGACTAATTTTTTCTTCGTAAGTATTGTTTAATTAATAAGACTTAAAAAAAATCATCCGTTAAGCTAAATTTACTCTACACAAGGTGTGTGAAAGCGCTTTCATTTGCTCACATTTCAGTGATAGTGTGTTTAAACAGATGTGATAGTAGGAAAAATAAATTGCGAGACAGATAAGATAAACTTACATGTTTTTCAATGTATTTAGTTAAACAAATATTTTTAATTTTGGTAACTGCAAAATCTGTCGCCGAACAAAGATTTAAAATAACGCTCATATTAGATAACCGATCAATAATAGTAATCTTCACATCGGCTTTGCTTTTGTTTTTATAATTAAGACATTTTTTACGTATAAATTTTTACTTTTTATGAAATTATTTTGATAATAAAAAAATATTGGTCAAAATGCAGTAGATAGGTATTAATTAAAAGTCTTAAATAAATCGAGCCTGGGCTGCCCTACTCACCGGATAATAATGAATGAAAACGATCGGGGTGGTATTAGGGAATTCAGATATAAGTATTCAGTTCGTTTTGGTTTTTTTGTAACTGCAGAGGAAAGGAAAATCTACTCGAAAAAATTGTTTATTTCGATTTTTGCTGATGTTTTTTTAATTTAAATTTGTAAACATACAGTTATATTCATTATTAAAGTACTAAACTAGCAGAGACGCACTTAAAAATACACACTCTTACACATACTATAAATTAAAAAAAATAAATTAATTATAACACAGTTCTTATCCATCTTTGATTCTTTCACTCTGTCAACTATTTTTTATGTTTGTTTTCATTATAACTTTCCTTCCACTTTTCTAACTTTCTCAAAATGCGTTTATCACTTGAAGTGTCGCTTCGACTTACTCCAGAACGCCTTAATTTTAATAATACAGTCCTCCGTCAATCTGCCCGGTAAAGTCTTATCGTTTCCAAATTGATTTTTTTTGTTCATGTAAAAATCGATTTCGTACTTTTTATTGTTATTGGTAAAAATATAAGGGCTTGGTAAAAATATTCGCATAAAGTTGCAATAAAAATCAGTCTCAATATAGTTTATAAAAGTTATAACATTCTTGAACGCGTTAATTTCAGCATTATTTTCGACAGTGTTTGCTGTATTAATGGCAACGGTTATCCAGAAGTTAACCATAACCATAACTATGAAGATGGTGAAGACAAAAAAGATGCAACCCAAGACAACATGAAAATAAAAATTTCCATCGTAGCCAGATTCACCCGTCGTTTGCGTCTCAAAAAGTAACTTGCTGATGCTTTCAAAACAATTATACTTTTTGTCCTTGGCGAGCAAATTGAAAGACATAACAAGGGCTGCTATTACTAAGGAGAAAAACGCTAACTGAATGGCTAAGATTTTGAACGATTGTTTCAAGATGACAGTCCATTTGGCAATCTTCGGGTGATAGCCGGCTGTTAGTAGTAGCAAGATTGACATTTCCGCAAAAGCAAAGATCCGTAAGATGTGTAAGAAAATCCCTACCACAAGCGTTGATATAAGAATTAATTCCAAGATATAGTGACAGTTCAACCGCCTAGTTTTAATGAGCGAAATTATGATGAATATAAGTTTCAACACGGTATTAAGCGTTAAAAAGAATACACAAAAACACAAATTGTTCATTGAATCGGTTAACAAATAAAAATATGCACTCAAATTTAGAAACAAATAAAATTGCAGTACCAGAATTACCCAATAGTACAATTCCACCTTAAACCATTTCAGTTCTAAAAAAATATTAATTAGTGGATGCGTCACCAGTCGTTCTAAGTTCTTGTTTTCTGAAATGTTCAAGAGAACTCCAACTTCGTTGCTTCGGTTATTTTGCGTCGAAATCAAAGACTTGAAACAGAAACGCATCTTACAGTTCTCTAGGGCAAAATCGGTGCGTCTTTCCAGAACTAAACAGTCATCGAAATGTGCCTCTAGAGCTTTATCCGAAACTATATCTAAAACACTCTGGCCAGTTTCGTTTCGAGCAAGCAACAGATTTTCGGGACGGTTGAGTATCTTGTGAATTGACTTTCTGCAGTTGAAGTACGCAGCGTAATGTAACGGAGTATTTCCTGAACCTCCATTAAAATATGAATCAAGTTTATCCGATTCTAAAAGCATTTCAAAATATTTGAATATCAAAGCTTTCGATCCCCATCTCACAAATTGGTTAAATATTTCTTCCGTGATTACGAGTTTCTTGTTCTTTAAGATTTCCATGAAGATCTGTTTGTGTCTGTGTTGTGCTGCTATTTCTAGAGGATGTTGGTGGTACAATTTTGTGGTTTGATTTGGGTCGGCGCCATTCTTTAACAGAAACTTAACTACTGGATACATTTTTCCTGACTTTTTGCAAGCAAACTGTAACAGCGTGAATTCCCCGTTGTCGCAACCGACATTTTCACGAATGTTCTTAAACTGTAAAAACTCGCGTATCTTTTCTCCACCAATCCAGTAAAAAAGTTGATTGACGGTATTCGATTTATTAAGATTTTCATCCTGTGCTGTTTCCAACTTAGGATAGTTTTCTTTACTGATTTCCTCAATAACGGTTTTCGTTTGTTCGTCTAGAAAGTTCCAACATACCCCCTTCTGCATGAATTTTTTAATCAATGTTTCGAGCTTGCTTCTCAACTTTGCTTCTTTAGACGCCTTCCACATGAAAATAGCACGATGGAGGGCGATTTTGCCATTAAAATCTGGCTTGTTTATATCTACTTCCGCGTCGATTAACCGACCTATGCAGTCAAAAAATTTTTCTCCTGAAGCGTTTCCGTATTTGAGCGTAAAAACTAGAACAGAGTCACAGTATCTTGGTTGATTGAGAATCTCACCGCTACTAGTGCTAATTATTTCGATTAATTTTTTCTCCTGACAACTTGCTGCCGCGAAAAACAGCAAATCGCTTTTATCACTTTCACACTGTTCACATATTTCATAAAACTTGTTCAACAATCCAAGTCGAACTTCTTCTATGAACTGCTTCTTACCACTTGCCGATTCGAGATTTCGGATATATTCTTTATCTGCGACATCCAAAACTTGCACCGACTTAAGAACTCCATATTTTTGTTTCAGAAATTCGATTTTGTTGAAGTCGATGTTGTTCGGTCTACAGGCGCTCATGACTTTCCGTAAAATTTTGAAATATTTTCGATTATCTTGAGTATTAATTTCTGCTGTAAATTTATGAGTAATATCTTGTGTTAATGGCATGTTCACGTACCTTTTGGTGGTGAGATTTCTTCCATTTCTAGAAGTACTCCTTCTTGATCGCTCATTTTGATTTTTTCTGTTTGTTGCCAAAAATCGCAGTTGGTTTACTGTCTATTCAAAGTTTTAGTTGTCGACTAATCATGGTAGATAAGAGATGACTCAGTGGTAACGTTATAGATTTTTGCTGCAATGTTTGTACACAGATTAGTGTAATACTGATAACCGATAACAGCAAATGCAGGGACGGCCTCTCAAATTGTTGCCTTACTAGTCATACTGTTAGAAATTAATAAAAAATTGTTACAGTAAAAAATGTTACAATATGCTGTAATTCTAGTAACAATTAAACAACGCAAATTAAAATCAAGGAAGAAAGATCGAAATTTAATTCAGGAAATACATAGTTCAAGAAAAAATTTGCAATCTGACGCGAGAACTAGAACTTCTTCAATGAGAGAATACCATACTTCACTAACACTATGATATTGCGCAAACACAACCTTGAATGCGATAACGATATGTCAGTGCCGACCAAACTTTTAATCAAGCCGCACGTAAAATGTGGATATTTGGTGGTAGAAAGGCGTTTGATATAATATAAACGCTGACCAAATAAAATGTCGTTTAAGCTCCAACTGACCAGATAGGTGTTCTCTCATACGAGGGTATGATATGTATGGATGTATATTTTTTTCTTATGTAAGTTTTTACTCTTCTGGATTTAAAATTTAATTATTCGATATTTGGGAAAGATAATTTTATTGTACATATTTTAGAAACCCCACAACTCTAACGGTGATTACTGATTATTATGTATCGACGTAAAATTTTGACCGAGGAGATCCCGTTTTTACTTTTATTGAATGTATTTTTATATTTATTTCCGTCACACAATTTCGTCTATTAATTGGTAACAACAACCTATTTTATATCTTCATATTTAACTCATCAATCAAATTGTGTTCCCCTATTGCAAAAGGTCACGAGCCGCCACTGCATTAACTATAAAACCACAAAAGACTTTAATAATTGCCTATGAAATCCAATTGGTGTTAAAAACATGAATAGACAGTCAGTACTTACATGATTGAGAGATAATTTTTTATCAAAATGTAAATAACGCCATTAAAAGCTTTGTAAATATAAAGAGCGATGCGATTGACAAAGCAGTAAATAAAATCCAATGATTTTTTAAGACTCGAAGGCGGAACTAATTTCAGAGACCCCACACTGACGAAAAGGTCAGACAAGTAATTTAGAAAACCATTTTCACTTCTCTAGCGTAAGCTAAGGAAATACGGTAATCGGGTCCATCGGACGAATGGTTACTTTTATATTTTCTCAACATTTCATGACCCTCCCGTTTACGTCCGTCTGTCTGTCTGTCTGCCTATTGTCTGTATCCGTTTTTATTAGACACGTAAAATTCTGACAGTCATCCCCACCAATAATTTGATGACGTCATTTCAAATAATTCTATGTTTATTTGATTTAACTGTTGCACAGCAATATACCCCTATATGTGTAATGTACGAATCCGCATTGAATTTTTTCCCTAATTCCAAATTATAATACATACTACAATAACAGTTTACCATTAACGTAGGACATACCGACCGTGGTGTAGTGGATAAGATTTGGGAAGGCGGACCGGATGTCCCGGGTTCGATGCCAAACTTGGCCTTCCTTCTTTTTACTCTTTTATGTAGGTATTGTAGATCAGAAACCAGATTAAGCCACAATATTCTAGAGATGAGCTGACGAGAGAATTAAATAGGCTAATAAGTGAGTGTGTGTTCGAAAAGTCAAGAGAGTGACGATATATGAAACCATATATTTTATACGCTTTGGAAATACATTCAGCAATGCGATTATAAAAGTAGAATTTATTATCAAAAACAACGCTTAAATCTTTGTACCTATCTAAAAGAGTTAAGACTACGCCTTACATATAATAGTCAAACTTAACAATAGAAGCTTTTCTCGAGTAAGAGACAACGAAGCACTTAGATTGATTAATTGAGAGACGATTACACTTTTCCCAGTAAATTAGACGATTTAAATCTAATTGAAGTTGTTGATAATCGCTCAAAGATTTGACCTCCAAGAAAAGTTTTAAGTCGTCAGCAGACAACAGTTTATTGAAGTTCAGCCCATCAACTATATCGTTAATAAACAACATAAACAGCAAGGGACCCAGATTAGACCCTTGCGGCACACCGGATCTTGGGGTGCAAGGCTGAGACATAAGGTTACGGTATTTCACGACCAACTCTGTTAAAGAGGTAGGATTTAATAAGAGTTAAAAGCGGTTTGGAAAAGCCAAAGCACTGGAGTTTTTTGAGAAGCAGAAAATGATAAATATGATCAAAGGCTTTGGTAATGTCTGTGTATACAACATCTAGCTGATTTTGGTGATCTATAGGCTCAGCAGCGTATTGACAGAAAGAAACTAAGTTAGTGACAGTTGATGTTTTTTCTACAAACTTTTGATGTTAGAATATATCCTTTCATAAAGAATATTTTCAAAGATTTTGACAAAATTACACACTAAACATATGGGTCTGTAGTTTTGTATCATAGAAGGGTCGCCTTTCTTAAAAATTGGTGTAACCGTTGCCTTTTTCCATTTCTCAGGAAAAGAAGATGTCCTTAAACTAAAGTAAAATAAAGAATGCAGCAGTTTGACTAATACATAAGCGCAGTATTTCAGTATAAAACTGGGTGTTAAGTCGGTAGCTGAAGTGAGAGATGGTTTAGATCGTTTCAACGCTAGCAAAATTTCTTCTTCCGTTATGTCTGACACTGAAACAAGTGCATTAGGAATGTCCTTTCCAGTGAAGTTACGAGAGTTATCAATACTTGGATTTGAACTAATGAAAACACTGCTAAAATAAGCACTAAAAGCATTTACAATTTCAGTCGGTGATGATAACTCTAATTCCTGATATGACATGGTTCCCGGAATTCTAGTAGACCCTCTTTTATTATGTAAAAAAGACCAGAAAGTTTTTAGATCCTTCTGAATTCTATTTTCGATCTTGTGAATATATGCCGTGTAAGCGTTGTCAGTAAGTGTTTTGCACAATGACCTATAGTATTTAAACTCAATTAGATCGTTATTGATTTTATAACGTTTATATTTTTGATTTAAATATTTCTTTTGTCGAACACAAGTAATAACTTCATTACTAAACCAAGGTGAATATTTGGGATTTGTATACTCGAATTTCAGGATAGGCATTGAGGCATCAAATTTGGTATAATATATCATAGAATGCGGTAACATCGACATTGACATCATTTGTTTTGTTTAATTTCGACCAGTCTACAGTTAATAATGATTCGTATAATTGAATAAAGTTTGCTATTTTAAAATTATATTGTCTTGACTCAGTATTTAAATGGAATTTATTTTTATGTACTTGATCAGCCTGAAATTCCAGTTCTAAGGCTGGATAGTGGCTGTGCTCATCAACTAAGGGATTTATTGACTTTTCGACTGTAATTACTAAATTTGAGAAAACCAGATCTAAGATACGGTCGTTTGCATTACGAATACAATTGTATTAAGTCAGATCAATAAAATTACCAAATTCACTAATAAGGCGGACAATTTGTCGGTTAAGTTGAAGACAAAGTCTGGAATACAGAAGTCACCCACAATAATTAATTTGTTTGTGTGAATAGCTTCTAAATTGGTTAACAAATCCGTAAAAAGTTCATAATCTTCGAATGAAGTGGAAGGAGGAATATAAACTGTTACTACAAAGATATAATTTTTGTTTATAGTTGGTAATGCTCTAATAATGGATGTTAGATCAACTTGAGTACAAGTATCATCAAGGGAATGAATTAAGTTCGATATGTTTTGTTTGTCATTTGCGAGACGTTCCAGTTTAGATATAGAAGCAGGATGTTCTGGTAAATTATAAAGTATGATGTTGGAACCACGTTTCTGACGTTCTAGTATTTCCTGAACGACCGTTTCAAAGTCTGGAGTGGATGAAGATTTCCGTTCGTTTAGTGAGGATTGTATTGTGTTTATTTGTTTTTGTACTTCAAGCTTCAGATTATTAATAGCTGTGTTCCATTCGTTGCGGAGATCATTTATCAAAGATTTGAGGTCGTATTCGATCTTAAAATGATATTGCAGTTGGCACACTTAATTATATCGTATAAAATTAGACTAATGAAATGACGTAGGGTTGATCAAATAATAATGTTGCAAATCAATGGAAGGCTAGATACAGGGATACAGATTAATGACTGACCTCAACAGACACTGGTAGGCCAGGGTTAAGGTGACAATAAAGAAAGGAAGGTGCGAGTTGATGTTGATAAGCCTGTATAAAGTAACAGTAAATTACTGTAATATTTTTTTGATGGGTCATTCTCAAAGTATTTCCACTCTAATAACAGCTAATGACGGTTTAGTTGAAAGGCGAAACTTGGAATTTTGACATTTGAGACGATTTTGTTAAGGGTTGACATTCCATAAGTTTGTCTGGTACTTTTTTTTAATCACTGATTGAATGTATACGAAAGATCGTATACAGGGTTAGTCACGAGAGAATTACTTCTGAAAATTATTTTTACGCAACTCAAAATACTAATACCCTGTACCACTTGATATTATCTGAATTTAAAATGAAATGCCTAATCCATGATTGCTTTGACGTTGGCAGTGTCACTTTGACGTTAATTAATTTTTAACATTTTTTTTCATCGTTGACTCGCCTCTAGAGCCCCATTCGATCGACGACATACAGTCAGATCAATCTAGGCTATACTGAAGCCGTAAGTGCTCTACCAATGTTGTTCGCCGCTAATGTGCATGTGTTAATTCGCCATCTCTGCGGGGTCCGTTAACTTGGCACCACCAAGTTAATGAATTTTACTCAAAAGCTAGCACCTCGTTGTTCTAACCTAGCACCAGCTAGCACCACCAATCAAAAAGCTAGCACCACCTAATTATTGAAATAAAAGCCTTTTACTTTCGGGGGGGGCCAAGTTAACGCTAGCCCCCCGACATTATTTAATTCTCATGAAAAGTTGGTCCGAGGTAGTTTAGACCTAGCACCAGCTAGCACCACTAGTCTCATAGCTAGCACCACTCTGCAAGTATTAAAAAAAAATTAAAAACCAAAAAAAAAGTAGCCCCCACTTTTTTTTCTTTAATGGTAAAAATCAGTAGGTTAATAGTCTAGAGCTAGCACTCGCTGGATCCATTAAAAAAAAGTGTATTTTTATTCAATAAAGCCATGT